TACTGCAGTGACTGCTCTCTGGTGAGCTGCTGTTCCTCTAATAAGTGATAGCAAGAGGGAAAGGATTTACTGCAACTCCCTGCCAGGGTGGGTGTCAGGAGGACAAAGGGCTGGGAGGGCTCAAGCAACTCCAAAGCAGGGGAAGAACTCAGGTTGGTGCATCTTTATTTCCCAAACAGCAGTTAAGCATGGAGGAAAAATAAAAACATTATTGCTCCTAACAACCCAGCAGCTCCTTGCCCACCTCCCAGCACTGCAGTGACACAGGACACGTCCCCAAGCCATGAGGCCAGCCCCACACTGCTGGGTGTAGATCAGCAGCACCCAGCACCCATGCCCTCCAATGGGGCACTCACATTTCTGCTCCTCCTCTGGCACGATCCTGTACACCTTGTAGGGCTCAGAGATGTCCAGCTGGGACCTGTCTGTCACCTCCTCAAAGTCAGGGCTCTTGTTCAAGGCACAGCGCAGCCGTGTCTTCCAGGTGGCTGGCTCTGCTTTGTCACCTTCTTTGAATTTGCCTTTGAAAACAGCCCAAGCCTACAGCAAAACAAAAAGGAAATCACCTTCCATGCAAGCTCTGCAAATCCCTTTGGACCAAAGAGCAGATGAGCAGCACATCTTGGGCACGCTGTTGCTCAGAAATGGGACACCCCACAGAAGTCCCCAAAAGTTCAGCCATTACCACACGCCCAGCTCTGCACCGGCCACATCACACTAATCTAAAGGAGCTGGAGTTGGTTTCATGCCCTTCACAGCATAAAACCAGAGCCAAAACATCAGTGTGCAACTTCACTTTAGCACAGACCGATGCAAGGATGCACATCCAAGCAGTGATACTTGTCCTGATCCAGAAACACCCAAACCCATACTAAAATACACCTCATCTTCCCAGCTTTAGACCAGTAACTGACAGCTGGATTCCTTAATATCAAAACGTCATTTGTGCTTTCATGGGGAGGTGGGACAGTATATTTTAATACAGATAACAGATATGAATATATTTATATACAGCCATCTCTACAACCCATTGCTCTGGTCGGTGCCCTGAAAGCCATCAGTCACCATGGATAGAGCAAAGTATGGGAATAGAGCAGAGGGAAGGGAATTCCTGGGGAAGAGCCCGACTTTTTGGTTCAGGACAGAATTTTCCTATTAGACCTGAGATGTAAAGTCCCTTCTCTCTGAGAAAAGCTGACACTTCCTTCCTTCCCTTTCTTTTTTTGGTGAATGCACTCTTTATCAGAAAGTGCCCAATAGGAAGCTTAGGGCAGGTCACAGAGCACATCAGGCCAAATCATACTACATATTGGGCTACAGCTTGATACATCCTCACTAGATAAAGAGGAGGTGAAGAACGGGCAGCAGCCGCTCCTGACTCCTCACCAATGTGCCAGGAACAAACCTAAACCTGGCACCAACACAGCAAAAAGGAAAAGCCATCCCCAGATGATCCCAACAGGGATCCTACAGGTGCTGCAAGCTGCAGACCCTGCCAGCAGCAAGGACATCTCCCACCAGCTGAGATCCAAACAACCCAGAAACCACTGTTGACAGCGGGGACAGATCACCTCACCTTGACAGCCCAGAAGCCATTGGTAACAGGGACAAACCATCTCACCCTACCTTGAAAATCGAAGCGTCCACCTCCTGGTTGTAATCCTGTTTCCCTGCATGCTTCCACGGGATGCGGAACATGGTTTTCTCCTCATTCTCCCAGATGAGCCCTGGGTACTGCTCGCTGTCAATCTGCTCAATCAGCCACTGCCGCAGCCGCCTCCCACCGTTGCGGTCGCACATCCTAGGCAGAAGTGGGAGCTGTCAGTCTGTCTGTCTATCTATCTATCTATCTCGACACCCCTCTGCCCCTCACTAACAGCAGCTGGGTCGACAGAGACATCTTAATGCATTCTAATGGCTGCGTTTCACTTTCAGGGCACCCGACTGGAGAGCCAGCGGATTGCAGTGATGTCTCCAAGTAGAAAAATAAAGCGATTTGGATGCAAGCAATCACTCTCTGCTCCACTTTATCACGTGCAGCGTTGGCAACACACTGCCTGCAAACAGCAGCAGCTGCCACGTGCCCCTCCGTGCACAAAACCTCCCTTTTTTACATGGGAAAAGCCACAGCAGTAATTCTACAGCTGTCCCACATTGCTCCACCCCAGCCATGTGGGCAGGCACTGGACTGGTGCCCACACCCCATTTACTGAATATGACGAAAGCACTCGTTAGCCTATCTGCAGCCTGCGTGGAGCCCTGCTGGAAGGCACCTTTATCCTCTTGCTGCTGAGGAAAGCTCTGTCACAGCAACAGGCTGACTTGCAAACTCCTCTTTTTGGGGATCAGCCCCGTAGGAACTATGCTGTCACCTAAAGAAGAGACGCTGTAGAAGCAGACAGCTCCCAGTACTATAGCAACGGGGGAGAGGGGGGGTGAAATAAAAGAGGGTGAAGCCTCTTGCAGCAAGGAGCAGCGCAGGTAGCAGCAGGGTCACCGCAGGGAACAGGGCCATGCAACCACATCCTCTCCAGGACAGGACCAGGGCCCTGCT